TATTTTTCATCCCCGCATTCCCCCCGATTCCCCCGGTTGGCACTCTCCGTCCAGCCCGGGGATTGTGCTAGCAGGGTATCTTGGCTGAACAAGACAGGTGCGCTCGGCCGCGGATCTAGAGTTACTATCAGATTCAAGTTCACAGTTTCAAAATTATCCTTTATAACACCTTTATTTTCCTAGGATAATACACGGAACGCGGGTTTAGAATGATAAAAAAAGGTTCACCAACAGAGTACCTTTCTCCAGCTTTACACTGATAGGACAGCTGCTGACAACTATGGTAGAAAGAATTTAAATAACGCTAAATTTTGTGACCTAATGACATGATCTCATTTCAAGAATGGGGTATCAATTCAACAGACTCCTGTTGACTGTAGATTGACACAACGCAATGTTTTAGTAGATACATTTTCATGCATTTAATATATTATGTGTTTTGTTATTTTTCGGAGTGGCCACATTAATGTTGGCTTACTAAGGCAGGAATCGTATGATAATGTTAGAGCAACAGAAAGGGGATAGTGAAAACTTCCTGGGCAAACAGCTCTATATCAAGTGAAAACCTTCGACGTTAGATTACGGTAGTAACCTGGATGTACCGTTGACTGTGAAAATGTAAACAAAATGACCGAGACTTATATGTATGGGCATGTCCATGCATATTAGTATTATGCATAAAAATTCAAGGGCCAGTGTTTTGCAACCGTGGTTCCTTTCACAAAAATAAACTTTATACCTTAAGCTAGGAATAGGCTGCCCAGTTCTATCCAAGGAGGACATGTACATCATACGTCTAAATCTTGTAGGACATGTCATACAGAATAAATTTTGTGTGTCAACATGTTGAACAGGGTCCTGTTCGAGGAAACTCTCACTCACACATATGTGTCAACAAATGTTGTGAATCAAACAAAACGATAGGACTTTGCCTGATTTCGAAATGGCGAAAAAAGAAGACAAGCGTGTATAACAGCAAATTTTATAATGCTCAACCCACCTCAAATCAGTGACAATGCGGGGTTCGAAATGCTGCGATGAAACGACCTTTTTTTTATATTAGTTCAGATAAAGTAAATTGATGACTATCAGTAATTGATAGTCAATCTGCCTTAAAATCAGCGGGATCTTTAAAACAGAAATCGGGGACCAGTTTTTTCTTGTGGCAATATGTATGGATGCAGACTCTGACTCGGTAACACTGTGCGGAAAAATGATAAAAATATGCTGTGTAATTGCTTTACATATGAGCGGGACGTTGTCAAGGAGAGTATTTCCCACCCAGCTCCTGTATGTCGCTTACTTTACATTTTGAAAGATAACCGCTGTAAGCGATTACTTCTACTGCTATTTTTGGACGAAAATATCGATTTCAAATGTGAAGGCCTTATTATCTCAGTAATGTGACTTAACGTGACTTGTAACGTTATAGTCTGTTGGTTCACTTTCTGCCTAACATAATAGATTCAGAGTTCATGGACTTAAGTGCATTCCTTTTTTTGAAGAACGTGTACTCTTTGGAACCAATTACTAAATGATGGTTGCCGCCTATTCTCATTCCTGTAGGACGGAGCTCTGCGGCTAAACACTTAATAGCGCCTTATTTCACCACCAAATCCTCCCCTTCATTGCTTTAACCTGGAATAATATCCCACTAGAAATTAGGTTGTTATCTGCCTAAGGATAAGACAGTTTACGCTAACATTAGACTTCGGAAGATATAAAGTCCTTAGTGTCCGTTTCCTTCCCAACCATGCAACTTTTGAATTTGTAAAGGGTCTTCCTGGTATCTAAGGCGGTTCCCCTTATATCAACTTGCTGTTTTCATACTCTATTTATGTATTTAGTTCCATTTTACAGGCAGGTCAAAATAAATGTACAGTTAGAGATCGAGCTAACAGGGAAAGAATCTGCTGATCTTTTCACCTAGGGTTTTATATGCAAAAAAAGATGCAGCTCGTTTAATGATCGAATTCAGAACGGAGACGGGTTGAAACATAAACACAGCCTTGCCAGTCTCTCTTGAGTGTGTAACGCCGGCACCAAGTTCAAAAACTGCCCCCTGAGCGTGCTCCTCTGTCTGATTCTGGAACAGACAATCACAGGTACCATAAACTGCTATTGGCCAAGAAATTGATCAAGCGGACAGTGACTTGTTCTCGCATAACTTTTATTCACTCACGCCTATAGCCTGCCAAAAGCCAGAGGC